AACCTCCCCGCCAGAGGTTGCCCACAATAAACTGCTTTTTAGAGAGCCTGCCCCAGCTGGCATAGCAACTGGTGACTGCTGCTAGCGAGGGAGCCCTGTTAAGAGGAGCAAGCAGGAGACAAAGGGGTTTTGCTCCCTAGTAGCTAATCCAACAAGAGATTAAGAAAGGGACCACAGCCCAGGACTTTTGCAGTTCAGAAAATCCCCTTTGCCTGCATGTTACCTGGGCCCAGAGCCCAGCTTTAGTGACCTAAACTGATCTACAGCTCAGGTGATGGGTATTTTGAGTGAGCGGGTGGGACCCAGGCTGTGCTAGTGCCACAGAGTCCTAACAGCTGCAGAAAGAGGCAACGGGGCAGGTGAGCAAGTAAAACTCAGAAGCCCGGCTTGCAAATAAAGTCTCCACGCGCCAACCCACCCAAGGAGCAGGCACGAGGCTCAGTGCTAATGAAGCCGTGAGGCCCTCTGAAGAGCCAGAATTGTCCCTAAAAGTTGCCGATACCTCGTCCCAAACCAATTCTAAAGCTTAACGGAAATCACTGCTCACTGAAAAGCCAAGCACACACAGGGTCTGTGGGTTTTAAGTGCAGTTTTAAGTCTACCATAGATTATTAGAGGGTTTTTTTTAATATTCATCACTCAGTGCTGGCAAGAGAGCAAGGCCATGCTCACAGCCTGCTCTGCTCCCAGCTGCCCAGGGGAGGAAGGACACAGGCCAGGCACTTGTCCTTGCTCCCTAGTCAGGAAACAGAAAAAAACCCCTCTCAGCAATAGGAGTAAATGCAGATGCAGCCCACCAAAATTAGCAGCAGGGGGACCCAATTTGGGGCAAGCCCAGATACTCCCTCACAGCCAGACCCTCTAACCTGCCAGCTCAGGCTCCCCCCCACACACACACCCCCAGCCCTGGTGGGGATGGTTAATTCCCCACCCAGGGCTGCTTTTCACTAAATTCACTGGGGCAGCTTCTCTGCCCCTTCCCTTCAGAATGAGGGAGTCTCCAGCCAAGTCGCTGGCCAGCCCAAACCAATCCAGCCCCCCCCCCCCCGAACCACAGCAGAAAGCAGCCAAAAGACAGCTGCTCCCCTGCCTTTTATAGCTGCCTCCAGCTGGAGCGTGCCCAGTTGGGCCAAGAGGCGGGGCCTCCTCAGCCAGGTGAGCTGCTTAACACCTGCAGCCCCAGTGTGGAGTTACTGCACCCTGGCGCGCTGCCCAAGCCTGGCTCCCTGCCTCTGAGAGACGTGTCCCCCGCAGGGCACGATGCCCCTGTCAGCCCCACGGGGGCCAGGCATGTCAGAGCAGGTGGGGCTAGAAGGGGACTGGCATCGGCAGTCAGCCCAGAGAAACGGGTGACAGCAGGGCCCCTTTGGGGGAGCTCCCAGCCAGGCTGTGGGGTCCCTTTCTCTGCTGCTTTGTGCCTCTTTGTCCCCAGTTCCTCTGCTCTCCAGTTCCCAGGTGAGCTGACCCCCACCTGGCCCCCTTGGTCCTGGCCGGGGGGTGCAGGTTTCTGCTGAGAGACTGGGCACCTGCCCTGCTCTGGGTCGCTGGCTGGATGCGAGGTGGGGAGTGTCGCACTGTTCGGCTTTGCTCCAGGGACCCAAAGCAGGGACATGAGCCCCACCTGCCTTGCTGGGCCTCTGCACGCAGTAAACAGCCATTTCCCACCTCCCCCATTCTCCCCACAAACAGAGCAGCATATCAGGGAAACTGAGGCACGCACTGTATTCCTGCAAAATATTACAGCAAATTGCTACCTGCTCCTAGCACATCTTGATGGGCACAGGGTGTGCGTGCAGCGCATTTGACAGAGCAGGACAGGGGGTGCTACTGGGGGAGGCTGGGCGTGGGCAGGGGACACAGGTCTATGTTCCATGCAAGGGGCATGGACCAGACCCCACAGGGAGGAATTCTGGTCATTAACGTCCGAGCAGTGCTGGCTCCCCAGCAGGGTACATACCCCATGTCCCATCGTCCAGCCCCTCAGCCACGCCCTCCCATCATGGGGCTGGACTGGGGCCAGGGCATCCTACGTGTGTCCCATTCGTCACCTTGGTGACCTGCCAGGCCCCCTGCCTTGGGGTGTATCGGGGATAGGCCCCTGCCCTCATCACAGAGTGCCGTGGGTCAGGGTGTGAGCCCCTGTGCCAGCCAAGCCCCTCCACAAGTGCCTGGCCAAACGTGTTTCATGTTCCAGTCCGATAGCAGATGCTTTCTGTGCCTCATGTCTCAGGGCAAATATTTCAGCTGGAATGGCCCGTTCCTCACCTAGCTGGGCCACCGGACTGATCCTGACAAGTCCCTTTGCATGGGGCCAGCACAGTAGCAGGCCCTGCACCCCAGGGACCAAAGAGCTGAGCTTCCTTCCAGTGCCCCACTGAGGTGCCTCATCCTTTGCAGCTCCTGCGACTCCAGTTCAACCCCGGCTGCGAAGGCCACTGTGGCTCAGTGTCGCCAGGCACAAGACCCGGTAGAGTTTTCAGCAGCAAAGGCACCAGCGCGGCCTCTCAATCCTTGGGGAGCAACGTTTTGTGCCTGTTGCTATTCAGGAGCTTGGGGTTCGGTTTGACGCTGAGCTATAAGGCTTGTCCAACTTACAACATTTATTGTTTCCGTACAATCCGCTCCCATTGTGTGTCCGATTTCCCGGGGAGTGAGAAAACGTGGCGATCCCAGCTGTATGTCTGACGTTTTCGCTCCTGCGGCGCCGCACTTCAACTCCAGGGGCACCAAAATAGCAGTTCTCCCAGGGCGCCGTTTTCCCGGCCCCCGGCCCTGCTGCTGCCACAGGACAGACAGACAGAACCTACCCCTGGAGTCTGGGTTTACCCCGCTCGCCCCAGCCCAGCCAGCAACTTGGAGTGGCCTCCCGGCGTCCCGTGGACTGTAGTGTTATTGGGGTTACCCTGGCTCCTGAACCCCACCCCCCCAGAAGGGTTTATTGAATGGTGCAGGGCAGCCCCGGCTCCGAGTGGCTCCTGGCTCTCAGCCACCCCATGATGCGTCCACGTGTCCAGTGTGCCCCCAATGTCCCAACTGGAGAAGAATCCCAGCCGGCCCCCAAGGCCCCGTTCTCGCATTGCTCTGATCCAGCCCCATCTGTGGTGCCCTCTGCCCTGGAGCCAGGCCCTGATCCTGCCACAAGCTCCAGATCCCCAGGAGAGGGGCCGGTCCCCACACCTGGGCTGGTGTCACCTGAGGCTGGTCCGACGTCCTGGTAGACCCTTGAAGGAGAGAGCAGAGGGGATGGTGATGGGGTGTAACAGCCCCGCCAGCGTTCCCCATAAGCCCAGCACTTGGGCAACAGCCCACGAGAGCCTCCAAGGCTGCCCAGCTGATTAGCAGAGTGCCCACAGCTGGGTTTGTGTTCCTCCTGGTGGTGCACATCCACACCTGCCTCGGTGGACCACACAAAATTTATTCTGCACAGGGGATGGATCAATTCAGAGGGAACGTTACTCCCCACCCCAGAGAGGATGCAGCCTCACCTGAGTCTGCACCGCCACAGCAACACGGCCAGGGTGGCTACGGCTAGAGCTCCCAGGGCGATGCCCACAGCCAGGCCGGGGCCCCAGCGCCAGCTCTGCCCTGTAACACATGGGTAGGGGGAACATGGGGGCACTTCACACAGCTCTCCCCATCCTGTTCCCTTGGCGCTCCCCTGAGCTCCATCTGCCCCCCCTTGACCCCTCCATGAATCCCTCCTGGCTGCCCCCCATCTCCCTGCACCCCAATCCCACCTCCACCCCATTTGGGATGGGCAGGAAAAGCCCCCCGGGACCGTGACCATCCCCCTTCCCCCCTCCGGCCGCTGTACTCTGAGGCCTGAACTTACCCCAGGGGATCATCTGCTGCTTTGTGCCTCTTTGTCCCCAGTTCCTCTGCTCTCCAGTTCCCAGGTGAGCTGACCCCCACCTGGCCCCCTTGGTCCTGGCCGGGGGGTGCAGGTTTCTGCTGAGAGACTGGGCACCTGCCCTGCTCTGGGTCGCTGGCTGGATGCGAGGTGGGGAGTGTCGCACTGTTCGGCTTTGCTCCAGGGACCCAAAGCAGGGACATGAGCCCCACCTGCCTTGGCTGCCGCTTGGTGCCTCTTTGCCCCCAGTTCCTCTGCTCTCTAGTTCCCTGGTGAGCTGATCCCCACCTGGCCCCCTTGGTCCTGGCTAGGAGGGTGCAAGTTTCTGCTGAGAGACAGGGCCCTGCTCTGGGTCACTGGCTGGATGTGAAGTGGGGAGTGTCGCACTATTCGGCTTTGCTCCAGGGACCCAAAGCGGGGACATGAGCCCCACCTGCCTTGCTGGGCCTCTGCACGCAGTAAACAGCCATTTCCCACCTCCCCCATTCTCCCCACAAACAGAGCAGCATATCAGGGAAACTGAGGCACGCACTGTATTCCTGCAAAATATTACAGCAAATTGCTACCTGCTCCTAGCACATCTTGATGGGCACAGGGTGTGCGTGCAGCGCATTTGACAGAGCAGGACAGGGGGTGCTACTGGGGGAGGCTGGGCGTGGGCAGGGGACACAGGTCTATGTTCCATGCAAGGGGCATGGACCAGACCCCACAGGGAGGAATTCTGGTCATTAACGTCCGAGCAGTGCTGGCTCCCCAGCAGGGTACATACCCCATGTCCCATCGTCCAGCCCCTCAGCCACGCCCTCCCATCATGGGGCTGGACTGGGGCCAGGGCATCCTACGTGTGTCCCATTCGTCACCTTGGTGACCTGCCAGGCCCCCTGCCTTGGGGTGTATCGGGGATAGGCCCCTGCCCTCATCACAGAGTGCCGTGGGTCAGGGTGTGAGCCCCTGTGCCAGCCAAGCCCCTCCACAAGTGCCTGGCCAAACGTGTTTCATGTTCCAGTCCGATAGCAGATGCTTTCTGTGCCTCATGTCTCAGGGCAAATATTTCAGCTGAAATGGCCCATTCCCCATCTAGCTCATAGAGGAAGGGCTGGGCCACCGGACTGATCCTGACAAGTCCCTTTGCATGGGGCCAGCACAGTAGCAGGCCCTGCACCCCAGGGACCAAAGAGCTGAGCTTCCTTCCAGTGCCCCACTGAGGTGCCTCATCCTTTGCAGCTCCTGCGACTCCAGTTCAACCCCGGCTGCGGAGGCCACTGTGGCTCAGTGTCGCCAGGCACAAGACCCGGTAGAGTTTTCAGCAGCAAAGGCACCAGCGCGGCCTCTCAATCCTTGGGGAGCAACGTTTTGTGCCTGTTGCTATTCAGGAGCTTGGGGTTCGGTTTGACGCTGAGCTATAAGGCTTGTCCAACTTACAACATTTATTGTTTCCGTACAATCCGCTCCCATTGTGTGTCCGATTTCCCGGGGAGTGAGAAAACGTGGCGATCCCAGCTGTATGTCTGACGTTTTCGCTCCTGCGGCGCCGCACTTCAACTCCAGGGGCGCCAAAATACCAGTTCTCCCAGGGCGCCGTTTTCCCGGCCCCCGGCCCCGCTGCTGCCACAGGACAGACAGACAGATCCTACCCCTGGAGTCTGGGTTTACCCCGCTCGCCCCAGCCCAGCCAGCAACTTGGAGTGGCCTCCCGGCGTCCCGTGGACTGTAGTGTTATTGGGGTTACCCTGGCTCCTGAACCCCACCCCCCCAGAAGGGTTTATTGAATGGTGCAGGGCAGCCCCGGCTCCGAGCGGCTCCTGGCTCTCAGCCACCCCATGATGCGTCCACGTGTCCAGTGTGCCCCCAATGTCCCAACTGGAGAAGAATCCCAGCCGGCCCCCAAGGCCCCGTTCTCGCATTGCTCTGATCCAGCCCCATCTGTGGTGCCCTCTGCCCTGGAGCCAGGCCCTGATCCTGCCACAAGCTCCAGATCCCCAGGAGAGGGGCCGGTCCCCACACCTGGGCTGGTGTCACCTGAGGCTGGTCCGACGTCCTGGTAGACCCTTGAAGGAGAGAGCAGAGGGGATGGTGATGGGGTGTAACAGCCCCGCCAGTGTTCCCCATAAGCCCAGCACTTGGGCAACAGCCCACGAGAGCCTCCAAGGCTGCCCAGCTGATTAGCAGAGTGCCCACAGCTGGGTTTGTGTTCCTCCTGGTGGTGCACATCCACACCTGCCTCGGTGGACCACACAAAATTTATTCTGCACAGGGGATGGATCAATTCAGAGGGAACGTTACTCCCCACCCCAGAGAGGATGCAGCCTCACCTGAGTCTGCACCGCCACAGCAACACGGCCAGGGTGGCTACGGCTAGAGCTCCCAGGGCGATGCCCACAGCCAGGCCGGGGCCCCAGCACCAGCTCTGCCCTGTAACACATGGGTAGGGGGAACATGGGGGCACTTCACACAGCTCTCCCCATCCTGTTCCCTTGGCGCTCCCCTGAGCTCCATCTGCCCCCCCTTGACCCCTCCATGAATCCCTCCTGGCTGCCCCCCATCTCCCTGCACCCCAATCCCACCTCCACCCCATTTGGGATGGGCAGGAAAAGCCCCCCGGGACCGTGACCATCCCCCTTCCCCCCTCCGGCCGCTGTACTCTGAGGCCTGAACTTACCCCAGGGGATCAGCAGGCTCTGGCCCCCCAGGCTGCTGTGCTCCACCCAGCAGGTGTAGCTGTGCCCGTCGCCCGGCCCCACGGCCAGGGAGCTGCGCAGCTGGTAGGTCAGGTCGGCGTTGGGCAGGGTCCCAGTGGAGTCCAGCTGCCGGCCCGGCCCCACCTCCTCCCCGTCCTGCAGCCAGGCCACGTGGACGGTCCGGGGGTAGAACCCGGTGACCCGGCAAACCAGCAGTAACGATGCGGGGGGGCCGGTGGGGGGAGGCTCTCGGGCAAACACCACGGCGATGGGCCGCTCTGAGATGGGGGAGAGGGGACATGTCAGCCTGGGCCTCAGGGACTCACTAGCCCCGCCCAGCTCCGTACCCGGGGTCAGGTGCTGGCTCCGGGCCAGGCCTAATTCTGCCCCTCCTGTAACCAATGGTGACAGGATTCCCCTTCACTTCCTGGCCTAAGTGACAGTGTGACTAGGAAACAGCTGCTGCGCTGCACCCCAGCTACAGCTGCATGTGTGCACCAGGCCTAGGGTCCCTGTACAAACTGCCTTTGTCCCACCCCAGAGGTGGCTGCATCTCTATCCCAGACCAGGCCTGGGGTCCCTGTACAAACAGCCCATGTCCCACCCCAGAGGTGGCTGCATCTCTGCGCGCAGGGCGTGGTCTCCCCGCCTCACCTCGCCTAGCCAGGGAGGCGTTCCCATGTCGGGCAAAGGTCTGGAGCACGTAGATGCAGGAAACTTTGAGAAAATACTGCAGCCTGGTGGATGTGCTCCAGTCCCTGTTGAGCAGGTCCTGGGTGTAACGCGCCAGCCCGTCCGCCGAGCGAGCCACCCAGGTGCCAGCCTCCTCGTCGAAGCTGACAACGGCCTGGCCATTGCCCGCGATGTCGTAGAAGCCCCGGGAGGGGCCATTGGGGCGCAGCTCGCAGCCGATGGAGGCCTGGGCCACAAAGGGGTCTGAGGCAGGGGGCAGAAAGAGAAGGGGAGTAAAGGTGGGGGGCAGGTGCAATGTGGACCGTTGGCTGCCAGGTGACAGCAGGACTGGGGAGGCAGGGGGCGGCCCCTGCTTTTGCTGCCTGTTCTGTGTTCCCCCACGCACGGCCGGGCTGGCTGGGAACCAGGAGGGGACAAGGGGGTTATGCTGGCTCCAGTCAGCCAAGGGACTAGCTGCCCTTCCACCACTGACACGCTAACTGCTGTGGCGAGCGCGTCAGTCCTCAGTGCCCCCCGATGGATGGGGGCCATACTCACAGTCTATTCCCTGCTCCCGGGCTATCTTGGTCACTGTCCGGACGAAGTCGGCCAGGGACTGAGCGGCCACCTGCTCCAGGTCCTGCCACTCCCGGGGGCTCAGCCCCTCCTGGGCCCAGGGCTGCAGGAAACGGATGGCCCCCGTGCGGCTGTCCAGGGCGTGGGTCTCCAGGTCGCCCAGCAGGACCTTGGCTGCCACGGTCACGGCGCTGGCGTTGGGGAAGAGGGAGGTGAGGAGGAGCCGGAGGGCGAGAGACTCTGTGGGGAGAGGGGGGGAGGCTGCGGGGGGAGGGGAGGAGAAATCAAGCAGGGCACGAGAATCAGTCGCATTCTGGTCGAGGGTTAAGCTCTACCACGTCCCCCTGCTGAGCCCCACCTGCCTCCTTGTCCTCCAGCCCCCCCCCCCCCCCGCCTTGCACAATCCCCACCCCTGGTAGCAAAACAGGCAGGGTGTGTGGGGGGGTCCCCACTTACCAGCCAGGGCCCCCCACGCCCAGGGGAGGAGCAGCAGAGGGAGCAGCATCCTGGCAGGGAAACCCACACTTGAGTGGGTTTCAGGGCAGTGGGACGTGGGGCCCAGGCACCCACCTGCTCTCGGTTCCGCCCCAGGGCACACGCCGCCCTGGCAACTTCTCTCATTTGTCTCTTTCTGCTCAGACCAGTCCGGGCAGCTGCCAGCCCCAAGCCAATCAGGGCCGAGCCAGCCGGGAAGCAGCGGCAGGGCAGAAGAGGGATTCCTGGCAGCAAGTGCCAGGGCCTGCCCCAGGCTCAGACCCTCCCCTTCCCCCAGTTCCTGCAGCCGGAAGTACCTGCCGCCGCTCCCTAGGGCCATGGGGCAGCCCTGCCTGCCGGGGCGAGCCCCCCACTAGCCACCACCATTCCCAGGGCCGTCTCGGTCTTGGTGCAGTGCTGGGGAAACTGAGGCACTCAGGGTTGCCATGGGACAGTGGCAATCCCATGCCACATACCAAGGGGAATAAAGTCCCCAGTTCGTCACAGGTGGGAATCACGCTCATGCAGGGGATGCCCAGCAGGTCTGCAGCTTCCTTGTTGGTGACGGGGACTGTCCCTCGCCCAGAGTGTGTTTTGTGCGTGGAAAGGAAAGTTGTTTAGTGACTTATTTGATGGGGCTGGAAGCCTTGACTAGCGCCACCTAGTGACTTTCCATTGTCTCCCTGGCATGTTCCTGGGCTGTGGGGTTGGCAGCAGCCCCAGGGCTATGCCCGTCGCTCTGGTGACGGGCGCACACACCCTGGGCCCAGCCCCATTGGTGTCAGCAGCAGCATCTGTCGCCGGGCAGAGCCAGGTCCTGCACCGCTCGGTTCCACACTTCCCCGAGAGGGAAGATGCGGCTGCGCCCACCGCTCCCCGCCCCCTTGAAACACCCCTGGGTCCCTGCCCTCAGCTCTGAGCCACAGCCCCACCCATCCCCCTCCCCGGGGCGGCCCCTTGGGCTCTGGGGCTGCCCCCCAGACAGAGGCTCTGACCCAGCTGGCAAGGGGGCCCACAGGCTGATGTGCCCCACCTGGTGGGTGTAGACATCCCCACACCAGGGGCTCATCTGCCGTCGCACCAGGCTCTGAAAGGTGCAGTCACATTGGTGCACACACCCCTGCCGAAGGTGCAGTCCCATTGGTGCACACACCCCTGCCGCCTGCTGTGGCCTGTAGCCCATGGCGGGGGCATGCTGGAAATGTAGTCGGCCTGGCTGTGGGAGGTTTGGAACAGGGCATGGAGGGGCTGGTGTTCCCTTGTGCCGCCTCCTCTGCCCTCTTCCCACCTCCCCACCCCCACATGCCTGCCTCCTGATTGGCTGTATGTCACCTTGAAAGGGAGGAGCCTAGGAGAATGGGGGCGGGGCTGTTGGCTGTCAGGGTTTGGTGGACAGGAGTGGGTGCAGAACCAGCCTACACCCACCCTCCCAAGCTCCAGCCCAGCTCCCCTGCCCTGCCCCCCAACTCCAGACCAGCTAACCCCTGGCCCAGCTGCAGTCCAGCTGCCCCCAGCCCTGCCCCCCCGCCAGCTCCAGCCCAGCTACCCTAGCCCTGCTCCCCAGCTGCCCTGCCCAGCTACCCCCAAATCCAGCCCAGCTATGCCCCTACCTTGCCCCCCAGTTTCAGCCCAGATACCCTCCTGCCTGCCCCCCCCCCCCCCCCCCCCGCTCCCCACC